GCGCGTGTGCGTGCGTGCCCAAGATCCTGAGAGGAGAACAGAGGAGAAGGGATTGCGGCGTGACCGTCCCCCCGGGGGGTGATTTCTCGCTTTCTGTGTCTTTGTCTCTGTCTGTCTGGTGAGCGTACGCGCCCTATAGCAAACAACCTCTCCATAAAAACAAAAAACAAAAAACAAAAAAAAAGAAAAGTCTGGGGGCTGGTAGGTGGCGTTGTGGTTAGGGTACTGAACTCCCACATGGCCAACTGCAGTTCGAGTCTCAGACCCAGTGACTTGTTTTCTCAGTTTCTTTCTCTCTCTCTCACTCTGTCCCTCCCTGGTCAAATTGAAAGAAAGAAAGAAAGAGAGAGAGAGAGAGAGAGAGAGAGGAAGGAAGGAAGGTGTCCTGACCCGCAAGACAGTCGAACAGGTTTCCTGAGGGAAGGAGTGAGAGACAGGACGAATGGCGCAGTGTTACAACATGGAGACAACGCAGTGTTACAATTCTTCAGGGTCGTCTGGAGATGACGGGGTGTTTCAGGGTCATCTGGCAATTGTGGGCCAGGGATCGTGGTTATATACATGTTGGTGGGCGGTGACTGGTTGAATGAAGGATTGTAAAAGGTGGGTAATGATTGGTTGCTTTGTGGACCAATCATGAGGTGCTGGATATGCAAATCTGAGGGATTCTAAGCTCACCGATTTGCTATGGGAAATGGCCAATCAGAGTATGGTTTTGAAGGTGAGGTTTTGAAGGGGAGCTAATCATGGCCTTTGTCATTGTGTAATTGTTTGCTCTCTGAGAAACTAGCAATATTTGCTGGTGTGCAGCCTCCCACAGGAAAGAAGGAAGGAAGAAAGGAAGGAAGGAGGAAGGAAAGAAAGAAAGAAAAAGAAAGAAAGAAAGAAAGAAAGAAAGAAAGAAAGAAAGAAAGAAAGAAAGAAAGAAAGAAAGAAAGAAGGGGGGAGAGAGAGGGGAGAGAGAGAGAGAGAGAGAGAGAGAGGGAGGGAGGGAGGAAAGAAAAAGAAAAGTCTACTGTATTTACTTAGGTTGACTCTTCTTTAAAAAGGGGGCAGTGGGGCAGCAGATGGCATATTGGTTAAGGTGTTGGACTCCCACATGGCCTACCACAGTTCGAGTCCCAGACCTAACAACTTGAAACTCATGCTGGGCGCATGTGCATGCATGCCCAAAATTCCAGGAGAATAGAGAAAAGGATTGCAGCATGGCCTTTGCCCCTGAGGGGTGATTTCTCACTTTCCCTCTCACTGGGTCTCTCTGTCTCTCTCCAGAGAGTGCATGTGCCCTATACCAAAAACTGTAAAAAAAATAAAAAATTCTATTGCTTCCATGAGAAAGAGAAAGAGAAACAAAAAGAGGAACCCTCGGCAGGCTCCTCACACCACAGCCCACCTCGAGGCTCAGCCAGCCTGGATCAGGGCGCATGTGAGTGTGCCCAGTGTGCTCAGTAGGGTCGCAGGAGGCAAACCCAGGACCTTTCTGCACCAGCACCTAGCCCTGCCCTGGTCAATTCGTCACTCAGTAGACCTAGGGACCCTCTCCCACAGCTGTGGCCTTTACTAGTTCACAAACATTGAAAGGCTTGGTCCCAGGAGCAGCCCTGCAGGAGCAGGTGTTGCAGGCCCCGTCCCACACACGAGGGATCGAAGGCTGTGCATCCAGGACCTCCGCGGCACCACGCAGACGGAGCGAGGCTGAACACCAGCTCCAGCTCTGATCCATGGGCTCCAGCTTGTGTGCTCTTGCATTTTTATTCTATTTTTAAAATTTGCTATGGGGCATGTGCAGTTGCCAAGATAGACCCGGTGGGGGTAGAAAGCACTCTCCAGGAATTGGCCACTCCACAGTCTTCTCTCTTTCATCCTCCTCTTGGATTTTGGGCACACTCGCACATGTGCCCCATGTGCTTTTCTTTTTAAATTATTTTATTTATTTATTTAGACCAGAGAGGGACGGAGCAAGAGAGCAAGAGAAAGGAAAGTGAGAAAGCAAGCCACCAGGTCTTGGACTCAAACCGTGGTTGGCTATGTGGGAGTCCAATGCCCCTAACCACCATGCCTCCTGCCCCCACCATGTGCTTTTCAAGTCACTGGGTCTGGAACTTGAACTGTGCCTTTTGCCACGTGGGATTCAGCCTCATTAACCACCACACTGGCTGCCCCATCCAGTGCTCTTTCTGCTACATTTCCCCTAAATTCCGCCAACCATTACTCTTACTACCAAGCCCTCCTTTGTGTTGAAGTAGTTGTTCTTGCACTTTTGTGTTCTTGGACTTGCAGCCAAGTGTCCCCCATGTCTCCTGCACATGGTCGGAAGGTGAGGGGCAGAACTGTCCTTTCTCTGACACCCTCAAAGTCCAGGACAGAGCTCTGCCAGCCAAAGGAACTGAGCCTGGGGGTGAGGGCAGGTTCAACCGACATGGATCTCCGCCACCCCCACCCACCCCCCGGCATTGCAGACCCCACAGAGGGTGGCTGCGACAGAAAGGCGACCGACGATAACTAGGAGCAGCAGCATCCACTGAGCATGCACCCGGTGCCAGGTGTCCCACTAGTTCTTTATTTACATCATTCCACCCTCACAACACGTTTCTAAGCGAGGTATTATTATTGGCAGATGAGGAAAAAAAACACAAAAACAAAACAAATGCTCAGAGACGTGGAGCCAAGGGGCAGCCACATCTGTCCAGCCCGCCGAAAAGAGCACATAAATAGCAGAATTCAATTTATACTTTAAAAATATGCTAATCCCTCACTCCCTGAGGGCCCATCCTGCCCTTGACGCTTCTTTTCCCAGAAAATAAAACTCAGGGAAAGGAGTGCAGGGCAGGTTGTGTGCCTCATACCTAAGTGCACGCACCCATTCTCTCTCTCTCTCTCTCACACACACACACACACACACACACACACATGAGAATGACATAGGCCTATCACCACGACCCTGGATTTCCTAGCCAGGGTGAGGGCTTATGAGGGGTGGGGGTCAGTTTCCCCCAGACCCTTCCCTGGTACTAAATAAAAGTGAATAAATACTAAATAAATTACAACCCGGGCCTGAGCCCACCCTGCCTCCCCCCTCCCTCCTATGACCCGCAGGGCAGAGGGGGCAGTTTAGATAGAAGACTGTCCTCCAGCCCCTTCCATCCACGGACCATGGCCGCCTCCCAGGGCAGGACACCGGGGCAGGGCCAGCCTGCGCACGAGGGCAGAGGGGGGCATCTTAGCACGAGGCAGCTGCAGAGGCCCCTCCTCCTCCCAGCTAAGTTCGAGGCCCGGGTGCCCAGGAAGGACAGCCGGGATAGTGAGGTTATTTCCTGCCGGCCCAGGACCGCCGCCGGAGGATCTCCAGGATCTAGCCACGCCTGGTGCGTGGGGCGCGGCGTGGGAGGGGTGGGGCGGGGCACGAAGAAGCTGTAGCGGAGGCGGGCGTTCTGCGGGTTGCCGGCCACCAGGACTTGCAGAGTCAAGGGCTGGGCCAGCGGCCCGTGTCCTGACAGTGTCTCGGAGGCTGCGGTGGCCCCGCTGTAGCGCAGGCTGACGGCCCCGGGCAGAACCACGTCTGTCGGGGAGGGCATCAGCGTGTATTCCCCGTTGAGCGCATAGGAGCCGTCTGGGAGCTTCAGGGCCAGGTAGAGGCTCCGGAGGCCGGCGGGGGCCCCCCGCCCGGACAAGAATGTGGGTGGCCCCAGCAGGGATAGTGACCACGTTGTTGTATCCGTACCTGTGTGTGGAAGGAGCAGAGGGACAACTCAGCGCCTCTTGAATCACCCCAGCCTCCTGAGCTGTCTCTGACTGTGTGTATGCATTGTGGGTTCCTTTTTTTTTTTAAGAGAGATTTTTGTTTTAGGGTGTGCATGCTCTCTGGAGAGACAGAGAGATAGAAAGTGAGAAATTACCCCCAGGAGGCAGCATTTCCTTCTCTGAGGGCTCTTCTGTCACTCATGAGAAGTGAGCATTATAGACAAGCTATTCATGGGCTTCTATTTTGCTGCCCCAAAATAAACTCATACTTTTATCCCACTTCTCCACGAACTTTCTGAAGTTCCCTGGAATGTATGTAGAGTTGTCTGCCAGAGCCGCGTGAGCTGCCCAGCCTCAGGAGAGCTACACGCAAGTCCTCCGAGCTCTTATGCTGGAGTTTTACGTCTCCCGCCCGCACCCCCGTGCAAGGGCCCTTCCAAGCTCCACCTCTTTGGTGCCTGTCCAGTTCCTACTCTCGCTCCCAGCCTCAGCTCAACGCCAGAAGAGCCCCTGTGTCGGGGCCTTGTGGGCGCCTCTCTCTCTCATGAAAGAAATATAAGATTCAGCCCAGAGGCCCCGCCCGTGGAAGTCTCCTCTGACGCCCACCGGGCTCTGGCGCTCCCGAGCTAACCGCTGTGGGACCTGCGGGACCTGCACTGTCACTGCTCAGACACCCAGCTCTGCCTGAGACGGAGGTCCTGAGGGGACAAACTGGCCTTCCCCACTGCTCTGCTCAGGAAAGGTAGAGAAGAAATAACCCGGGAGACCAGCAGGTGGCGTGGTGAAGGCACTGGGCACTCCCACATGGTCAACTACAGTTCAAGTCCTGGCCCTGGTGGCTTGCTTTCTCACTTTCCATCTCTCTCTCTCTCTCTCCTCTCTCTCTCTCTCTCTCTCTGTTTTTGTCTGGTCAAATTAAAATAAATGAACAAATAAAATTAAATAAATAACTAACCTGAATTTTCGGAAGGAGCCCGACTGCTTGCTGCAGCCAGAACCGTCCCCACCGCACACCATGCACTTGTCGAACTTCTTTTTGGAGCCAATGACGCGGTCACAGCCAGCGTGGATGCAGCGGCCCTGGACACAGACCGAGGAGCTGTCCGGGGAGCAGGGGGTCCCGTCTACCACCTGAGGGA